AACGACTCGATAAATGACACTTTTTGCCCACTCACATACGATTTTTCCTTTGAAACTGATATACCACGGGCAATCACTTGCTAAATCATTTGAATACTTTATCAAGTGTATGGAACATGACGCTTTTTTTGCCATGCCGTTCTTTCGTGCATACTAACCGCTACATCCCAACACGCCACGATAAACCGCGTGAAATAACGCCTGTGTATGGCCAGCTATTAAGTTACTCACAGTAATCGGATATGGCTTATACAAAAAAATTCACAGACATAAAGGAATCCCAGGACTACGAACTTCGCAGTATTTCGTAGAAATTCCTTTGTGGGAAAAGGCTTTGGTATTTCAATTTATCTTTATATTGGCTTTTAATACAATTTTAAAAAAAGCTTATAGATGAATAAAAATGTTACTCTGGGTTTTACTATTTCTAAATAAGTCTTAAGTGCTTCCATTATATTTTTTGTTCATTACTAAATTTCAAGTACTAAAGCTGGCTCAATTTTTTGTAATACTTTTATATTAATTACACTAGACTTTCGTTTCGTTTCGTTCACGGTTTTTATGCAGTTTTCGTTTCCAATTTTGTTTCTATACTGTTTAGTTACTTATGTTTTAATACTTGTTTTGTTTCCGGGTTATTATGTTCCTAATATTTTTATTTCCAGTTGTTTCGTGAATAAGATAAGATAAGATAATTTATTAGTAGTAACATAATCTAATAAAATGAATTAGCCAAAAATGACTAGTTACTACAGTTATTAGTAGCTGCTTTTTCACTTATACCATGGTTAACCATGGAATACCTTGGTATCCCCAACATTTAATAGCCAATTCTTATGTAAAATGTCCCCTGAATCTGAAAATACCTTCAAAAATTATGAACGTAGAGCAGTTTTTAAGATATAGTCAATTCCATATTATATGGAAAATTGACTACTAACATCTCAAAAAATACTTTTATAACTTTTGGCAACATTTTCGGATTCAGGGGACAATTTTACATAAAAATTGACTGATCGGGATACAAATTGATATTGAAGAGAATTATTAGTGGCAGCTTTTTCGCTATAACAATTAGTCATTTTTCGAGAGTACAAATATATTTTTACAGGTCAAAAAGAATAAATATAAAATATTAAAATTCGATGTGAAGTACTCCTCATATGAGAAAAAGGCATTTAGAATAACGTAGTTCTTGATTTGTTTTTTGTATTGATTGAAGTTTGGAGCTTTAATTCTAGCTGATTCACAGTTATCTTGAACCATTTCTGGATCTCTCAAGCCGTTAAAAATCTGGTACAAGATTGTTTTTGTTTCTAGTAGGATAGTTGTTAGTACCTCCATGTGATCTGTATCGATCAAGATTTTGTTTATTGTTCAACAAACACTGCACAATGTAAGCACAAGGTAAAGTTAAAATTTTTAGATCTTTAAAGTAATATCAACAGTCCTCTCTTTAGCCAAGCCCAGAGATTTGTTGCCCAAATGCCTTGTTAATGTGACAAGAGTGACCCCATGAAAGAATAGCATAGGTTAGCTCTGGTATGTGGTTATGTTGTTAGAAGAAGTTCTTTGGAAGTAAACTGTACAAGATTCCTAAACAGGAAAAGTTGACAGGAGAGATTTTTTGAAAGATTTGCAAGGTGTTGCTACCAGGTTAATCCAGCATGTAAGTGAACTCCAAGAAACTTGGCTTCTATTGCACATTGGTGTTTAACATTACTGTTCTTCCTGAGAGTAAAGTTGATACTTTGTGGTTTAGTGTTATTTAAGGATAGAAGATTAGCTAGAAACCATTGAAATAATTTATTTTCTGAAGTTTGGTAAGTTTATCAATTTCTAGCAAACAAGACAGAACCTACTTACTCCTTCCCCCTGAAAGTACGCCAGGTCATTGATATAAATGAGGAATAAGGTGAGGCCTGATACCGACCCTTGAGATACACCATACTTTAAGGATTGCTTTTTTGAATCGCATTGGTTAAAATGGACATTGATCACGATCTGAGAGATATGAATCAAGTTGCTTATGGTATGTAAGACGCAATCAAAGGCCTTTGTAAGGTTTAAATAGTATCAAGATATTTTTCAAACCCTATAGAAATATTACTAGTAAATTGGTCGATGGCTAAGTTTGTGATTTTTTTTCAAACTGATTTATGGAAAATAATTTGTTGGACTCAAAGTGTTTATTGATTTGATTTTTTAGAATACGTTTATAAACTTTTGACAAGACTGGCAGTTATGATATGGGGCGATATGTTGCAATAATCTATGGAGCCCTTATTCTTTGCCTTGGCCATTAGGAAAAGTATTGCAAGCAAAAGATTAATTTAATAAAATTGTTAGAGGCTGATCTATTATGTTTTTTGGTATTTCAATAATGTTTGTATTACTATTTTTTAACTCTGATATAGCTGCATTAACATTACTAAAACTCATTGACTAAAATTTAAAGGATGGGAAGTCATCCAGTGGTAATCTTCAAAAGGCATTTGAAAACTTTTATAGGCATGGTTTTATTTCCATTAAGAACGTTACCTAAATTTTTTCAGCAATTTCGGTATATTAAAATTTAGTTATTTGGCATAATATTATGTTTTCATACCGTTTTCGTTTGAATAACTTATTGTCAATAATAACAAATTTTTGGTTCAAACTAGAAAAAATTATTTTAGACATATTTAACAATTACATCAATCGAAATGTTTTTTAATTTTCTATTTGATTATTTAAAAATATACAGGGTGTTTTATTTAAAATAAAAACGTTATTAACGTTTCAAGTTTGCTCTGGGTTTTCTTGGCTAATTTGTTATAAAATGTTAAAGAATTGACATGGAATCTTTTTAATTTAAAATTCCAAACATTTTACCCCGATTTCGGCAAACCTAATAGCCTAAAAAATTATAGGCTATTTTTGATTGACAAGCATTTGTCAAATTTTAACGAAAAAAATTAATAACTCGAATAACTCAAAATTTTATGTAGAATTTAAAAATGTAAACATGTATGGGGTGTTCTATTTAAAATAACAAAGATGATGTCACTTCCGGTCAAACCCGAAGTGGCATCGATATCTTTTGCCGTTCCTCAAAAACTTTTAATGAACCACGAACGTAAATTTTCAACACCCTGTATTTAATGATTAATTAATAATTAAATTAATTAATAGTTGTCCATTTATTCAGTGAATACAATGTTTCTTAAAAATGTACGGTCTAGCTGTTATCAACTCTCTAAAAATGAATTAGTCAAAAATGACTAATTTTATAGTTTTTAGTGGCTGGTTCACTTGTACCATGGTTAACTATAGAATACAATGGTATCCCAAAATTTAACAGCCAATTCTTATGTAAAATTGTCCCCTTAATCCGAAAATACCGTCAAAAATTATGAAAGTGGAGCAGTTTTTGAGATATAGTCAATTCCATATTAAATGGAAAATTGACTATATCTCAAAAACTGTTCTACTTTTTTTAACTTTTGACAACATTTTCAGAGTCAGGGGACAATTTTACATAAGAATTTTAAAATACCCTGGTATTCCATGGTTAACCATGGTACAAATGAAAAAGCAGCCACTAATAACTATTAAATTAGTCATTTTTGACTAATTCATTTTTAGAGAGAAAGCTGTTATTATATTATGTGCCGAATACCGTAGATAACATTTTATAAAATCGCACTTAAAAAAATAAATGACGTGATATAAAAAAACGTCGAGACACGGGTATCATTTTCTAAATCTATATGAGTTTTTCATAGAAGGGAAAAAATCAAATTTTGTCGTACTGTGTTATAAATAAAAGTAGAGCTTGGTTTCAGTTGGTCTTTTTTTAATTAAAGGATTTACAGGCATCCAGCTGTTCCAATTATAAATGTAGGATATACCTGGTAAAAGTTTGTTAGTCAAAAAACTTAATTAAATATGGTTAAAACAGACTAACGAACAAAACACTACTACTCGGGCATTGCATTGTTTTAATTATTAGGTATAACTTTTATTTTAATCAGGCTCAACGAAATTGTAGAAAACAGAATGTAAACGTTGTTAAAAATTGCGAATGCGCATAAATTAGGCTTGATAAAAATCAACCTTCACTAAAATAACTATAAAATTAATTAGCATTCTTACCTAACGGTTAAGCATAATAGTTATTTATGTCATTAGGTTAAGAAGTAAGGCTTTTTGTGCAAAGCTCAAGGTTTGAGCGAAGCACAAAAAGGCACTTCTTGGCCGAATGGCATACAACTTTTATCTTCTAAGCACTTTATATAGGTCAATTTAATTCAACATTAAAGCGGCCTAACCTCACTTTTTTAGAATCTCATTTATTTATTAGCTAAAGATTACATTAAATGTACAATAATTAAGCAGTTTGACAATACCTAGCTACATGATTTAAGTAGAAATGGATTTTTGCTATTACATTGAATTCAATTAAGTGTTTAATAAATAGATAGGTATCTAATTTCAATTTGTTTGGATTTTTATTTAAAAAATAGGTAGTTTGTAATGTTTAAGCTGTGTTTAACATTTAATTTTACTGAAAACTTAAAGCAAATTAAAACTTAAAGATAATTTAAATCGTAGAAAAAGAATCGTGCGTTTTCTTGGTTGCCTAACCTTACTTTTTGTTTTATTATTCATATTTAATTTTACAATAATTTAATGAAAAATATTAAACATTAACAGTAGAACAAACAAATTAGTGCTTATTATAAATAAATTAAATTAGTTTAGTACGTTAATTTCTTAGAAAAGGATTAATTTGTCAAAACAATACCCCTAGCGAGAAAAAATCGAACTAATTACTTGCCTCATAAAATTTTTATCGGCCTAAGCCATAACAAGGTATTTCTTTATCGAATGTTGACAACAATAAAGTTTAAATTATAGACCGCGTGGAGATAAAATAGATTTATTTATTGATATCATACGTCACAGTTAACTATGCACACAAAAATAAACAAACACACAGTGGCAATTGGTTGCAGTGCTTGAACCCCTTCAAGCACGTTTCTATCGATTGCCTTTTTCCCCGCTCGCCGGCTTACATAACCTTCGAACTAGTGATCTTAGCTGCCACGGTGTTGACCTACACCCAGTTCATGCAAGTTGCAACTTGCCATCAATCATGCCGACACCGCTACGGCGACGTGCCAACGCAATCACAGGCGGCTCTCTATGCTCCTGCTATTCCTGCTGTCTCCGCCAAATTAATGTATCCGACACATTGCTCACCTTTAAAGAAGCTAGAATTTTGTTCGTTCTGAACTTGGAAAATACAAAGGGACTGCGGTGTTGTCTGTCTAGTTTTGCTGTCTAAAATTTTATAGAATATAAAACAATAATTGTTGCAATCATCTATGGAGCCCTTCTTATTTGCCTTATAATAATAATAATAATCATTACTGCCAGTCTTGTCAAAAGTTTATAAACGTATTCTAAAAAATCAAATCAATGAACACTTTGAGTCCAACAAATTATTTTCCATAAATCAGTTCGAAAAAAAAATCACAACCTTAGCCATCGACCAATTTACTAGTAATATTTCTATAGGGTTTAAAATATATCTTGATACTATTTAAACCTTACAAAGGCCTTTGATTGCGTCTTACATAGCATAAGCAACTTGATTCATATCTCTTAGATCGTGATCAATGTACATTTTAACCAATGCGATTCAAAAAAGCAATCCTTGAAGTATGGTGTACCTCAAGGGTCGGTATCAGGCCTCACCTTATTCCTCATTTATATCAATGACCTGGCGTACTTTCAGGGTGAAGGAGTAAGTACTGTCTTGTTTGCTGGAAATTGATAAACTTGATTAGCAAACTTTATAAAATAAATTCTTTTAATGGTTTCTAGCTAATCATCTATTCTTAAATAACACTAAACCACAAAGTATCAACTTTACTCTCAGGAAGAACAGTAATGTTAAACACCAATGTGCAATAGAAGACAAGTTTCTTGAATTTCACTTAGATGCTGGATTAACCTGGTAGCAACACCTTGCCAATCTTTCCTATCAACTTTTCTTGTTTAGGAATCTTGTACAGTTTACTTCCAAAGAACTTCTTCTAACAACATAACCACATACCAGAGCTAACCTATGCTATTCTTTCATAGGGTCACTCTTGTCACATTAACAAGGCATTTGGGCAACAAATCTCTGGGCTTGGCTAAAGAGAGGACTGTTGATATTACTTTAAAGATCTAAAAATTTTAACATTACCTTGTGCTTTCATTGTGCAGTGTTTGTTGCACATTAAACAAAATCTTGATCAATACAGATCAAATGTGGTACTCACAACTATCCTACTAGACACAAAAACAATATTGTAACAGACTTGTACAGAACAGTTATAAATGTGAACCAGCTAGAATTAAAGCTCCAAACTTCAATCACGAATGTGGAAATTATTTGCCGAGGCGAAATCTGAGGCAAATAACCACGTGAGTGATAAAAAATTACTTTAATGCCGAGGTGCATATTAAATTTTATCTGAATCACATTAAATAATACTAATAATTAATATTGATGATTAAATCAAATGTCATTTGAACGTAGGAAGTGTCTACGTATTTGCCAACTGCGGCGATTTTTTAATCATATATTATATCACGAGAACTATGAATTTAATTGGTTAAACTAGGCTCAGTAGTTTTTTGTTTGGTTTTTGTTGGAAAATGTTGAATGCAAAATAATTTAATAAAATCACAGACCGCGTAGCGGTCAAGGGGTTTTATTTTTAATTATTTTGCATGAAACTATTTTCCAAAAAGAAAAATCAAATAAAAAACTTACTGAGCATAGTTTGACAGATTAAATTTATAGGTTGAGTGATATACGTCTAGATTATTTCTCGAATTAAAGGAAACTATTTGACAATTCATAAAATCTGACGTATGGGTCAAAATTTATAAATATTTTTTTAAAGAAAATTCCATTAATTTAAGGTATGTAATAAGTAATAATTGATATTTCGTAAACTGGATAACTTATTTTTTATGGTTTTTTAAAAAATGTTTGTTAAAACTTGTAAATAACACCATTAAATCGTAAACAAAAATCCAATATGGAGGCTAAAATTTAATCGCTGTTAAATAGTTCTAGTGATTTAATCGCTTATTTAAACGAAATTTATTCAAAAATTCAAGGCTTTTGATTGGTTCATATTATAACGAGGGAAATAATCTAATTAATAAATTTAACTTATTATTTTTATTAAACAACATTTTATGAAAGGGTCCAATCGACCTCCGCGCTTTTTTTTTAAATATTATTTAGTTGCTGCTAAGGAGCAGTAGACACATCTTAAAATGTTTAATGGGTTGCATACAATACTCGTATTAAATCGGTTCAATATTTTTGTGAAATTTTAATGAAGTAATGGGGACACGGGGGGACATATTAAAACATATTTTTGAAATTATACAAATATTTAATTTAAACAAATTTTGGATTTCGTAGAAAAAATATGGTATGCAACTCGTTTATAAAAAATTTAGACACACATTTAATTAAGCTCACAAGCTCACTCACGCCTAACTTAAATTCGTAATTAACTTTTAATTAACTTAAAACATAATACACTATTATTTTACAAATAAAATCTACACGACTTAAAATTGTCCTTTTCAATGTAGGCAATAAATAAAAATAGAAAATAAATGTTATATTCGCATTTAAGGATAAATCGTATAAAGTTTCGTACTGGAAATTCCTTTTAAGAATACTTAGAATAGAAAAGAAATACACTTTTAAACCCTTGTAAACTAAAAAGTTAAAATTATTTTAAAACGTATTTTATAGAGTGGTATGTATTTTTTTGGACCAATATGCACCTATAAGGCAACAGGTGATAATTAGAGTATATTTTTCAAATTGTGTACAGAAATTTGCATGCAAAAGTTGGAATTTATATAAATATGCATGAACACATGCAAGCTTCGTTTGTGAAACATGTGAGTTTTCTATTAAACTATTTTAGAGTTTGTTTGAAACATATTATAAGTTTTATTAATGCAGAAAGTTATTTTATTGTAACCTATAGTAAGATTATAAAGGTCAAAAAGTTAATAGGTATGTATTAAGTAAATAATGTAAAAATACTTTTTGAATTATATTTTATACATTCTTTGCATTATTTATTTTTATAATGAAAAACAACCAATGTAATTCAGCTCGTCGTGTCCGCGATAATACAAAATTGTGAGTAAAAGCTACCGTAATTTAATTAAATATTATTGCAATAGTAAAAAAAAAATAGTCAAAATTGCCTTATCTTCACACAATGCCGAACTAAGAACAGCTAGCCGTTCGCATGGCACCCATCGCCAACTTTAACTACCATTTAAGATTCAAGTGATGATATTATACATATTTAAGTACGGTTTGACAGTTTTATTATGACCCTCGCAAAAATCGATTTGGTAGATGTTGAATGAGTCCATTAGATGGGGCAATAAGGCAAAAGTGGTCATCCGTAAAATAACGATTTAAAAATTCTTTGTTAAACGGATTTGCGTATCACAAAAGAAAATTGAGTTATCAAAGCCGGTATATTATTATAAGTGAAACATTTTCCTCCTTTTTTATCTTATTGGACCAGCAAAGCTAAGCCGATTCCAGGTTTTATTTACAAAATTTCTAAGGACTTTTTTATGAATAAAGACCTTTTTAAATTTCATTTATATATTATATTGAAAGTGTTTAAAATACTGTTGTAATTATATGTTTTATGCCGCCTTTATTTTTTATAAATTAATATTTTAATAATGTTTTTCAGAAAAAATTTCATGAGGGGGGACCCTTTTGAAAAAAATATCGCGTTTTTCGAGTGTAAGTTTTAAACGCGAAGAGATACGAAAGTGATTTTTTGGAATCAGCGTGCTCGAATTAGTTGGGAAAAATTATTTTTGCAACTACTTTTTTTATGCTCGAATAAGTTGAAAAAAATTATTTTTGCAACTACTTTTTTTATGTTTTTCAGAAAAAATTTCATAAGGGGGACACTTTTGAAAAAAATATTGCTTTTTTCGAGTGTAACTTCCAAACGCGAAGAGATACGAAAGTGCGGTTGATTTTTTGGAATCAGCGTGCTCGAATTAGTTGGGAAAAATTATTTTTGCAACGTTTTTTTCCATGTTTTTCAGAAAAGATTTCATAAGGGGGGACCCTTTTGGAAAAAATATCGCATTTTTCGAGTGTAACTTCCAAACGCAAAGAGATACGAAAGTGCGGTTTGATTTTTTAGAAACAGCGTGCTCGAATTAATTGGGATAAATTATTTTTTTTTATGTTTTTCAGAGTGTAACTTCCAAACTATAATTAATTTAACACAGTGTGCAGTGTACCAATTTTTATCAGTGAAAACGACTTTTTCGTGCTTTTTATCACTTAAAAATGTAATATTTCATACCTAAGTATTATTATCAAAATATTTCAGCTTAAAAGCGTTCCTGCTTTTGGGATCAATTTAGATACTAAGAAAGGGAAAGGAAATTATTATAAAGCAGGCAGTGAGTTTAATGGTTATTAGAAATGGTGTAAGGGTAACTTCCTTATTATATTTCAAAGGCTCCATAAGATATTTATTTAACAGAGATTATTTTTCTTTTTCTAGATAAATTTTTTATAAAAGAAGTTTACACATTTTTCATGTTAAAACCTTTATTCTAAAAAAATTTAAACTTAAAGTGAATGTTGCAATAGTTTATGATTGAATTACATACTGTATCTGGATGAAACTTTCGAGTAGTTCAAAACTCGTTATTAATTAACTAATTAAGGTATATTCATTCGTACTAAAGTTTCGTGATTAGAATCTGCAAACACGTTGGTTCAGTGCAACATCCAGCAATATAAGCTGGTTAGTTGTGTGGTATTTCGTAAAGTCATATAGCCTGGCGAAACTTCTGGCTTTGATAAGATATTAAAAAATGTCCTTTACCTTTTTCAAATGCATGCTTTTCTTCACAGCCGTTCAACTGAAAATTGAATGAGGGTCCTAGAAGTTCTCGACTTTATTTCGAATATCTCCTTTTATTACTTCAAAAATAACTCGAGAGAAAATTGTGAATGAGTTTCTTATTTAGAAACAGGTAATCAGTTTTTTTGTGATAAATATAGCCTTAAGAATATTTAAAAATGAATATATAAATCTTTGTTAAATCAATAAAAACTCCAACAATATTAAAAACCATAAAATGACAAAATTTACAAAGAAAAATGAGTATGAGTATAAGAACGTATGGCTGATCTCCCAATTATTATTATTTATTATTATTTTTACCAAATTTTTGTTCTTATACGTAACCTGCAACTGCACAGCATCACCCACAGACCATAAAACAAATGGACGGCGCATTGCCATTCAATAAGAATGCCTTGTTTGCGGTCAACGAACGGTCACAGTCTAAGCGTTAAATTGGCTATAGAATTTTATGTTTTCTTCCAGTGACGTATTGCGTACTCCAAAACAGCTGTCATATAACAAATATGACAGCTGACTGCAACAAGTACCGTGGTGTTAAATAGGGATAATTTAAAACTTACAAACGATATTTCCATGTAATAATGTTTTTAAACTCAATAATTAAATTAAACACCATAGAAATACACAAACTAAAACACAAAACAACAAGCTGTCAACCTTTTTCTATGCTGTCAACCACAATCCACTGAACGCAAATATGACGAATGCCATATGTACACCGGCGGGTTAATGTTTAATTTTAATAATTATTAAATGATTTACTTTCTTTAAATAGAGAAAAATATCCAAAGTTTTAAAAGTCTAAAACCTATCCTCCGTTACTGTTACTCTTTCTAGGTTAACTTATATGTTTTCAAATATCTGAGGTAGTAAAAGCATACTAAAAATTTCAGTTAACTAAGTAAATTATATATAAATAATTTTTATAACCATTTATGTAGGTGTTACAAATATTGATTCTATCCTCCGTGAATCTGTTTTTGCTTTAAATTTTATGCAACGGGTGGCGCTTTAATCATTTTAAATAAGCAAAAACCTCTGTTTACGCCATTATATGTAGATGCATGTTATTCCTGAAAGTCAGTTAGAATTTATATGCAGATGAGAGTGTTGCTGTTTTATAATTCAAAAGTTTAAGTTCATTAATTTGCTATTTAAAAACCTATCCACCGTGGTGTAATATCTCAGTAAGTAGATTTTTTTTTATAAATATTTTATGTATGTACGATTGTATTATTAAAAAATATTAAGGTGTCAAAAGATACAATAACTTATTTCAAATAATATTTATAATAGCTTCACGGAGGTTAGAATTTCGTATGTTTTTTTAAACATCCTTTTGTATATTATACAAAAGGATGTTTAAAAAAACATACGAAATTCTAACCTCCGTGAAGCTATCTTCCGTGAAGCTCTAATATTCAAAATGTATGATTTCTTAAAATTCTTACATTAGTGCAGAACTACTTATGTTATGTTATTACTAAAGATGGGATATTTAGGTACTAAAAACTGAAAAATAGGTAACTAAAAAGGTACTAAAAAAAAGCATTTTAGGTAAAAAAAACAGCATTTTAGGTAAAAAAAAAACATTAAAAGTTCAAGTTTTGTTTATTTTTATAAAATAAGTAACATAAAATATTTTTTTTATAAACTGACCAATAGTTAATTAAAGCTATAAGGAACTGAAAATATAACAGGGAATACCTGATATTTACCAACTTTACTACTATAGTAACAAACAGATGCTAAAATGTATATAAATTAAAGAAAGATGTTTTAACATAACCTTAAAGTCCTTACAATTTTACAGCAAACTCTACAAAATAAGTTTCTTCCGTCAATAGAAAATATTTTATTCTTCCCCTCTATGCAACTGCTGAGTTTATTTAGAGGATTTTCTTTGGTTTTGGGCATTTTTTATAATTTTGTTTAGCCGCATACCCAAACACAGAACGTACCCACAATAAACAATTTCTATGCAATAAACTGTGTTTCACTGAGTGACACTCACTACACAGAAGTTCTATGACCGAACATAAGCTCACTACAAAGAAGGTAACTGCAAAGAAAGTTACTGCTACAGTCTGTGACCATAAGAAAAAATTATATACCGTTGAGTTGCACGCCCTGGATAAAATATTGGCGCAAAATTTAAAAAGAACAAAAAAATAAAATACTTAAAAATACGTAAAAATAGGTAACAAATAGGTGAAAATAAAGTAACAAATTAAAAAATAGATATATCTATAACAAAAGTATAAAAAGGTAGTCTAAAGCTAAAACCTCCAAAAATGGTAAAAAAGGTGAAAACAATTTAAAAAAATAGGTAACAAAAGTAAAAAAAGGTAGTCTAAAGCAAAAACCTCCAAAAAAGGTAAAAAAAGGTGAAAACGAGTTAGGTTCATTTAAAAGAAAATCTTTTAAAACACATTTTGGCATAATTGGTTTTCAAATCGCGATGCATCGGTTGAAAAAAGGTAAAAAAACTAAAATCCCATCCCTAGTTATAACTAAACCTGGTGGCTTCCTAAAAACCCCATTCTCTACTAACAGTGAAACAACCAAAAATAAAAAATAATCATTTTCACTTGGGGGACATCTCAATATATTTACCCATATACTATTGAACAAAACCTTATAGAATAATTAACTTTTAGGTATTCTGGATTTAAAATGCACTGTTTATTCTGTCTCGTTTGTGGAGTGATAGAGATATATGTCTGATGATACTGTCGGGCTGACAAAATTTACAAAAAAAATGATAAAAGTTAAATTAAAAAATAAATCATTTATATCATCAATAAACTGCAAGACCAAGGAATGTTCTAGAAGGCGTCGGAAGAGTCTTATCTTAGACATGGGCGCGAAACAGCACCACCACGGTGTAGCCGCTGGAGTCCGTCCGCTTTTGGGCGCTTGCGTCTCGACGTCGCGTATACGGAGCGCCGGGACGCCGAACAGTCTGCCTGCGAACGTCAAGGTCGCGCGATACTTGCGTCGCCTTCCTCGATCCATCGACACCAGAACTTTCCTGCGCGATTTTTTGAATGAAAGTCACAGTTTTTTCGGTTGAGTTTTTGAGGGATCGGTTTTTGGACGATACGGGTTCGATTTTTATGGGTTTTAGTGTTAATCGGTGTTTAGATTGTTGTATTATAGGTTAGGAATTTATAAACAAAGTCAAAGTTTTTAGTGAGCCATGGGACACTTTTTCTTGTATAAGTAAGTAGCTTTGAAATAATGTTAAATTTTACTTAAATGTAATATTTGTTTGTCAATTTTAAAATCGACATATACATAAATTTATATACAATGAATAAAATTAACAAATTAAACAATAAATTTTAACCAAAATGTATTTCAATGTATAAAATAATTCAATTGTCGAAGTATCTAAATGTTGCATGCAATGTTCAGCTTGATTTATATATTAAAGTATAGCAAAAAAACAAGATTGGTACCCAAATGTCCAGTTTTATGTTTTAAAATTTTTTAAATCAAATTAAAGTCCAAAAGAACACTTTTTCTATAAGTAAATAACTGTGAAAGAATGTTAAATTTTATTAATAACACAGTACAACACGATTTCCCTCCCATGAAAAATTTTAGCAGATTTTGAAAATAGAGGTAAAAAAAACGTACCCGTGTCTCACAGTTTCACGAGATCACGTCATAAAAAAATTTTAAGCCGTCATTCCTATTATTTATGCTTATACAGATTGTACATTTTTTACTCGGTTAAAAATATATTTTTTTGTAAATATTGTATGTTTTTACACAATACAAAAAACAAATATAAAAAAGTTTATATTTTGATTTTTTTTAAATAATTTTTTTTTATTTTTTTTTTAATGAAACCCATTTTTGTATTTATCTTATATTCAATACATGTTGGAATAAAATCTTGGTCGTTTAGTTTGACGATTATACAGCTCGTTCAGACTAAAACCGAATATATCTATATATATATATATGGGGCGTGGCCTCGCCTCCCTCCAACGCGCGACACATGAGCTAAGCAATTAGACTGCATCGCTAATGAGATTTTTTGCATTATTATCTTTTAATTTTTTAAGTCCTTACCTGCTCGACCTTTCGTCATGTCGTTTATCACACAAGCAACTGTGACGCGCCTTGGAGGGAGGCAAGGCCACGCCCCATATATATATAGATATATTCGGTTTTATTCTGAACAGGCTGTATATTGCTTCAGAATCTCGAACAATTGACCAGCAATATTCACCCAGCAAATGCCTGACGTCTTTTCCCTTGAAGCGTTTTTCAATTGTTAAAATGTCTTGGTAAAACCGTTCGCCATGTTCGTCACTAAAATCGCCCAAATTTGGTGGAAAATAGTCCAAATTAGCATGGAGAAAATGTATTTTCAGTGACATATGTTCTTTCATGTCCTGTGTAATGTACTTTATAACCCGAACTACAGGGAATAAATTCAGATTCCATCTCGGAAAAAATGGTTGTACTGGGTGTTAAAGGTCTTTTACTTTTATCCTCACATATGTTTTCTGAAGGAGCAGTTACATAATCTTCAGATCGCACTCTTGCGAGAATGACGGATTCTACATCGGCGTAATCAATTTTCTCTCTAGAATTGTACCGAAATCCAAAACTTTTTAATTTTGACATGCAGAAATAACACTGGTCAGATGCGTCTTCGGTACGTCGCGACGGGTCGAAGCCAAATTGTTGGTGCAACATATTTCATACTGTGTGTTTTATCTTTCAATCCATGCAAACAACGGTAACAATAATCGCATAAAACCTCTGGTACATACCATAAGTTTGGTATATACGTCACCAAAAAATAGTCTTCAAAAGCTGTTACTACACTTTTTGTAATATTTCGCATATGCCTTGGAGGTGCAAATAAACCTCATACATAACAAAAATTATTTCGATTCGGACACTGCATTTTTACTTTGATTTCAAATGGATGGTTAACTCAACAATCAAAATTAATATGAAAAATTTATCGATTTATCGCTGCAATAATGTTTTTATTTAACATTTAAAAAAAAAGTATTACCCTCGTATAAAGATTGGATTGAAAACAATGCTTTTTATGTATAAATGCCGCAGATGTGTAAATTTTTTGTTTTTTTGCTGTTTCAATTGACTTCGTATACTTAAATACTTTTTTTTACATTTAATATGTTTTTTTTAAATTAAATATGTTAGGTACACTTGCTTTAAGACTTAAATCAATTCATTTAAATATCTTTTAATTTTTTTTTTAAATGTTAATTCAACAAAGCTCAATTTTTACAAAAAATTGAATAAATAAAAATTGTAATCACCCGACTTTAAAGCATTTTGATTGGCTTAAAATTGAAACATTTTGTTACTTGGTTTAAAAATAAACCGTTTGATATATACAGGGTGTCCCAGATCTCGCGCCACAGAGAAAAAGGGGGCGTGCCGATAGCAATGGAGATGCCAAATTTAAAAATAAAAATTTTTTAGGTAATAGTGTAATCGAATGCCCACACTAAATAAATAAATAATTATCATTTCAGTATAATCATCTAAGGAAAACATTATTTATAATAACTTAATTTATAACCTAATATAATATTAATGACAGGAGTTTGACAGCAGTGTCACAATGAATTGGATTCCAGTGGACCAAATATTTTACATATTTTTTATTATCAACAATGCAACCTAAGTATCCTAGCAATTTAAAGAATTCCCTATGGCCATCTATTGGGATTGGCTATCGTTTTTTATTCTTATAAGAATATAATATAAGATATATTTCGCTTATCCTTTGCGTTAGACAATTTTAATTTTCAAATATGTGTTTCACGTTACTTTCGGCACGTTCCGGTTTTCTATGTGGCGCGAGTTCTGGGACACCCTGTATATAAATGTGCAAAACTCTGTATAAGATTAAAATAATTTTAAAATGCATCTATAATGGTTGCCTATCCATTTAGTAAATATATATATTTTTAACTATGCAGTCCAGCTGTTATCGAGTCTATTAAATTATGTTGCGAATAGTGTGAATAACATTTTATTGGATAGCCCTTAAAAAAAAATTATGACGTGATGTGAAAAAACGCCGAGACACGGGTATCATTTTTTTAACTCTATTTTTAGAATCTGTAGAAATTTTTCATGGGAGGGACCAAAAATCAAATTTTGTCGTACTGTGTAATATTTCTTTGCTAAATACAAAATACATGTAGGTACATTAGAATGGGCAAGTATTTCGAAAATATGGTTTGGAGTGACAAAAACTTATTGTGAAAGTTTAAGTCCATAATATTAATATTAAGAGGTCTATCATCGCAATTGAATTTTTTTTTCTTAAGCGAGTTTTTGTTTTAGAACTACCAAACCATTGAGTTTAACAAAATTGACTCAAAAATATTTTTTTAAGAAAATTAAATGCTCTACAAAAAAGGTTAAGATGAAATTTTCCGTCAGATGAACCGTTTCCCTAAAATCATGCCTTAAAAATTGGTATGGTTTTACATTTTGACCTTTTAACTTTGGAATTTTGTAATTCATGTAAAAATCAGTACCGGAAAAAAAACCGATGAATATTCTTATGGGAAATCAAATGCTCTACAAAAAAAGTCTCTTAAGATTTTTGGCTAAATTTACTTAATCAAAAGTTATTCAAGGTTGAAGTTGAAGTCAAAACGAAATTCTTGTTTTTTTCCTCTGTAGATTTTTTTTTTCTACTCCCACCTTTAAACGCCCTTTATAGTACATGTTTTCATGAAACTAAGTGACCTTTTAAATACACATTGACAAGTTGTGGCTTTACGGCACTTTAGTCACGGACTGAAGTTAGCAACAGGTTTTTAGTCACGGGCTGAAGCTAGTTTTAAGTTAGTTGACAGTTGTCAAATGTCATACAATCGTTAAAATAAAGTGCCTTTCTTGTAAAATAATACTAAATGTGAAAATTATTTTATTATCTCAATACAAAAATACAAAAATATTAAATAGTTTCTCAACGCCAATATTTGAAAAGTTTATATGAACATTGTACTGACCTTTTAATTTCGCCGGCAGTATACTATAACTTAAATTCGGGCACGGACTCTACTGTAAAGTCCTCATAAAACATTTCCTTTACTTTCACTGTGAAAAACTGTCAATTTTCAAGATACATTTCGATTTATAACCTTTATAATTGTGTTTATAAAATGTAAAAATGTGACATTTGACAGTTTCCTCTGTTGTTTTATAGATGGCGCTCTATACAAATTTTTAGGCACTGTGTCGTGCAGACGTTTTAATTGTCGTTTTGAGTTTTTTGATCTTTAAACATAATTCAAGTTCTATTAGTGCGTTAGTATTGCCAGAAAAGATCTGTAAGTCTAAATAGTTTTTATTTTAGCCAAATATTTAATTTAATTTTTTCTATAGGGCTTCTTCCATTCTTTACTTTTTTGAGTATTGCTCTTTTATTTGTTCGTTTACACAACGAAAGATCCTTCATTATTTTACGTGAGATTTCATCTTACGTTCCCCATATCACCATTCGTTTGGGTTGAAGAAACAAGTGGTTCTCCGTGCCTCCGGTTGATGGATTCTCCACCGGCAAGCTGGTGAGAAGATTTCAAGATTGCAAATTTTCAAACGGGACGAAACTGGGACTACCTGAGTCAAGAACTCCAGAATTCCACGGAATAAGAACTCGAAGTTCAAGAATATCACCGGTGCACCACGATTGAAACTGAAAATCTGGAGCTACAGGACCTCAGAACAACCCAAGCGAGTCAACACCTATCTGGTATTTTTTATTGTTTTTTTCTACTTTATTTTAATAAAAACAATTGGTGCCCAACTCAAAAAAAAAAAAAAAAAAAAAAAAAAAAGTTAAAACACATGTTAGTAGTTGGGAGGAGTTAATTATTAAATTAAAAGATGATTTTTTGGTTGAAAATTATGATGATTTATTATGGGATGAAATCAAGGGTAGATATCAGGGAAAAAATGAGCCTGTATGTATTTTTATTGCGTTCATGGAATCATTATTTGATAGATTAACTGAAACTCCAAATAAACAGACTAGATTGAAATATATTAAACAAAATATACAGCCACATTATATAACTCAATTAGCTTTACATGACATTAAAGATATTAATGAACTTTCTAGTTTATGTAAGAAAATAGATGCAGCCTATAACTTGCGTAAAAAACAAAATACATTTGTAAAGAGAGATAGCTTGTTTAGA